CAAAACTAGGGTTTATTTTTGGGGTAGGGCTTATATTAGGCCCACCTCCCCAAAAATCAAGTTAGGGCTTATTTTTGGTGTAGGTCTTATTTTGGGGCAACACGGTAGTAGAAAAAGATAACGTAAAAATTTAGAGAGAGAAGTCAAAATGTATTTATACTTATAACTGCTGTGAGGAATATCAGAAGCCACTTCTTTATCTGATTTTTCTTTTTTCGACTTTTTTCTTTTCTTGCACTTTTTGGTTTTTATTTGTCTTTTTCTTGTTAAAAGTTGTAATTATACACACACACACACACACACACACACTCAAATAGAGAGCCAGTGTAGTGTAATTATTAAGATACTGGGCTGGCACAAGGCTGATTCAGATTTAGAAGCTCTCTGGGATTTTTTGGATCATCCACTCTCTTTCAACTTAATTTACCACAGGATTATGGTGATATTGAAAATATGGGGGGGGGAAACCACACACACTAGAGCAGTTTGAGCTCAAGAACAAAAATGAGATAAATAAATAGACAAATTTATTTGCATTCCCACCTGCAACTTCAGTAATAAAGAATAATTAGGTCAACATTCACAGTAGGAGAGACATTTCACATTTTAGTGTGAAGCAATCATACATGACAAATATTTGTAGCTCAGGGTTGAAATAAGGGCTCTCTAAGCTTGGTTTGGTTTGTTGCAGATTTTTTTTTTGCATTGATGATGTTACCTAGTTTAGGTAATGAAATGTCTACAAGGAAAAAGATGACAAACATTTGTATATATTCCTTTGAATTAGTGTTGACTCCTGGCGACTGCCTGGACTAGTCCCTGCAGTTTTCTTGGCAAGATTTCAAAAGTGGTTCAACATTGACTTCTTTCTACGGTGGCTTTAACCTCCACACCAAAGTAGCACTCATATAGGATTAGAATTAACAATTTCTTACTGCAAATATGTAGTGATTTGTAGGTATAATTTAAAAATAAAAATAATGAGAGTTGCTTTTAGTTCTTCAAAATTCATTAATTTATGAGGAATAAAATTATTTGCACGCTGATGGGACATGAAAGTAGGAGGCAATACATAGAAAGGGACAGAAGAAATAAACAGACTCACATGAAAAACCTATTGAGTGAGAGCTAAATGTCTATAGCTGTAACCTTACTGACTTTTGGCTTGTGATATGATTAATGTGATATGAGACAAAAGGAAATTTAGGAGACTTTTGACAAACGTCACACTCTCTGATCCAGAGTCATAACTGATGTATTTGAACTATAATAATGTTATGACAAAGTGGACTGTTGCAGTAGGCTCCTGAGAATCATTTTCTTCTGTCCTAGTCAAAAGAAAAAAGAACCCACATACTCTATCTTCCATTACAGACCATGATAATGTAATCAACAATTTCAAAAGCATATTGAGATTGTCTTTTAAAAAAACAAATAAAAGGATTGGGCTTCATGATTGTTTTGTGCTTGTCACAAATAGTGCGTAATACTTCAAAGCAATGCTCTGAACTGAAATGTGGTTGTCTCTGTTGAGATGTAGCTTTTGATCACTTATTATTATTCATATATTTATTGCATTTATACACTATTCCAGTCAAATACCATCCCAATGTCAAACAGCAATAAAACAAGAACCATTAAGCAACTATTAGATCCTCTCTCTCTCTCTCTCTCTCTCTCTCTCTGTGTATGTGTTTGTGTGTGTCTGTGTGTGTCTGTCTGTCTGTCTGTCTCTCTCTCTCTGTGTGTCTTGTCTCTGTCTCTCTCTCTCTATCTTGTCTCTGTCTCTCTCTAATCAGACATAAAATTGACAGCAGATCTAGTGCCCAAAAGGTCAGCAAAACAGCCCTTAGTATGAGCAGTCTTTACCCTTTATTAAGAGTTTAGTTTGCATTCTTGAATGGCAAAAACATGGAAAATGTATGCCACATTGACTGTGACTTTTAAAGTCTACAAACCAAGAATCAGTAAGGTTACAGCGATGCAATATGTACTTTGATAATGTTATAAAAAGGGGTGTTGTCTTACCTGAACGCCTTTTCTCAGCATGATGATGGAGAATCCATGGATGGGTTGTCTTAATCTATCTGCTCCAATTAGACTAAGTCTGAATCTTAGTACCACCCCTGCTGTGCCAATTGCACCCCAGTTTTAGGCTAAGGCGATACTCAGACTTTAGTCCGACGCGTCTGATCAATATCGGAACCAGGCCAACTGACCTTATGAGAGGGAGTGGATTCTCCATCATCATGCTGAGAAAAGGCGTTCAGGTAAGACAACGCCCCTTTCTCCAGCATGATTGGATGGAGAACCCACGGATGGGACATACCAAAGCCCTGTGTCCCTAAGGGTGGGAATTAGTTTGGGCATGGGTCCCGTCCGATGTTAATGTGTGTTCTAGTACCTTGCGGCCAAATGAAGCCGTAGAAGAGGCATATTTGTCCATCTTGTAGTGACGGACAAAGGAAGAGGGCGAGGCCCATGTTGCTGCTCTACAAATCTCCTCTATGGAGGCCTGGGTAGCCCAAGCAGCTGTAGTAGCTACGCCTCGGGTGGAATGTGCCGTGATATGTCTAGGAGCTTGCAGCGACTGAGTCTGGTATGCCAGAAAAATACAAGCTCTAATCCATCTGCCTATTGTGGACCTTCGTCACTAGGACAGAAGGTTTCTTACCTTCTGTCCTAGTGACGAAGGGTGAAAGGACACAAATAGAGCCTCAGTTTTGCGGAAAGATGAGGTTCTCTGTATATAACAATGTAATATATATTGCGCACATCCAACTTGTTCCACTGTACTTCTGTGTCATTAGATGGGTTAGGACAGAAGTCCGGCAAAACTATTTCCTGTGATCTATGATACAAGGAATTAACCTTGGGCATGAAGGAGGGGTCTAGCCTAAGGGTTACCCTGTCATTATGGAAAGTACACAGGTCCTTTCTCACTGAAAGAGCAGCCAGCTCAGAAACTCTTCTGGCTGAAGTTACAGCAACAAGAAATGCCACTTTCATCGATAATTGTTTAAACAAACAAGTGTCAATAGGCTCAAAATGTGAAGAAACAAGAGCCTATAAAACCTGATGAAGATCCCACAAGGTGTATCTGTGTACAGTTGGTGGTCTGGCATTATTAGCTCCCTTTAGGAAGGAGCATATCATGGGGTGATGTGTCAAAGAGTCATTGCCACAAGTAATTACCGTGGCAAGTGCTGCTACCTGTCTACGGATGGTGCTTGTGGAGAGCCCTTTGTCCAGGCCATTCATCAGGAACTCCAAGATAATTGGCACTGAAATGGCCAAGAGGTCAATTTTGTGATCTGAACACCAATTACAGAAGCTCTTCCACGTGGCATCATATATTCTATTCGTCGAGGGTCGACTGGATTGCTGAATCATGGCTATGACCCTTGACGAATATGAGTCTCGGCCTAAGGCCTGCCTCTCAAGTGCCAGACAGTTAACTGGAGCCACAAAGGGTCCGGATGGTATAGTTCCCCTTGAATGAGGGAGATGCGACTTGCTGGGATCCTCCAAGGAGGGGAGGTGGAGAGCTCCATCAGGTCAGTGAACCATGAACATCTCGGCCAATGCGGTGCAACCAGGAGGACCTCTGCCCGTTCGTGAAGAATCTTCCAGATCGTGGCGGGAAGAAGCGGTAAGGGAGGGAAGGCATAAAGCAGTTTTCTGGGCCAAGGACTGCGGAGCGCATCCGTCCCCTCCGCTGATGGAGACGGAAACCTGGAAAGGAATCTGGGAAGTTGTGAGTTGGTTGGGGAGGCAAAAAGGTCTAAGGTTGGGGAACCAAACCTGTCCACAATCTCTCTGAACACCTTCGGGTCCAGTTGCCATTCGACATGGTCCACGGTGGTTCTGCTCAGTGAGTCCGCATGTTGATTGGTCACTCCAGATATGTGCTCTGCCCTGATGGAAGCAAGATTCAATTCCGCCCAATACCCCAGCAATTTGGCCTCCTGCATGAGAGGCCTGGATCTTGTTCCCCGTTGTCTGTTGACATGGGCCTTGGCTGTAATGTTGTCGGTTAGAACCAGGACATGTTGGCCCTGTACTATGCTGCTGAATCTCTTTAGGGCCATATGTATGGCTCTGAGCTCCAGCCGTTTATATTGTTCTTTAGATGCTGATTGGACCACCGACCTTGAGCCCAGTGTGTCTGGAATTGTGCCCCCCAACCAAACAGGCTTGCTTCTGTGGTGATGGTAATCTTGTCTGGTTCTTTGAATTCTGCTCCCCGTGATAGTGCCGGAGAGTCCCACCAACGAAGGGAGTTCAACATCGACCGTGGAATTCGGACCTTCTGGTGGGATGTGCTGGTGTGAAGTCTCTGAAATGGAAGAAGAAGCCACTGTAATTCTCTGGCATGGAGACGTGCCCATGACACAATTTGCACGCAGGACACCATCTTTCCCAGTAGCTGTGATAACAAGGCCAATGTTACTACTCTGTCCTTTCGGATCTGACGTACAAGGGTCTGAATAGAGTTCCGTCAGTCCTGTGATAGGTAGACCATACAATTGTTTGTATCTATAATAGCACCCAGATGGAGGAGCCGAGTTGTTGGTACAGTATGGCTTTTCTGGAAATTAACAGAAAACCCGTGCTCCTGAAGGGTCTTGATGGCTAGGGCGAGGTCTGACTGAGCATTCTGGAATGATGATGACTGTATCAATATGTCATCTAGATAGCATTGAATTCTAATTGGAATCTGTCTAAGGTGGGCTGCTAGCACTGCCAGTACCTTTGTGAATACTCTCGGTGCTGATGAGAGGCCAAATGGTAAGGCTCTGTACTAGCAGTGGCGTTGGGCATAGCTGAATCTGAGGAATTTGTGGTGGTCAGTAAAAATAGGAATGTGCAAATATGCCTCAGTCAGGTCTATTGATGTAAGGAAGTCTCCTTGTCTGATGCTAGCCAGGATTGATTGCAGTGATTGCATCTTAAACTTCCTATACATCAGGTAAAGGTTTAGACCTTTTAAGTCTAAGATTGCCCTCCAGCCCCCCGAAGTCTTAGGGATGATGAAGAGGTTTGAGTAGAATCCTCGTCCTTCTTGGTCTTGTGGTACTGGTTCAATTGCTTGTATTTGTAATAGATGAGCTATGGCTTCTGACATAAGATCCGCTCTAGTCCTGTTCCTGGGAATAGGGCAAGAGCGGAACCTGTCAGGTGGTCTGGACCAAAACTCTAGTCTCAGACCCTGAGTGACGGTATCTAACACCAATGAGTCTGTAGTAGTGGCTGCCCAAGTGTTGGAATAAAGGGTCAGCCGGCCTCCTATAGGAGGTGAGACTGTGAGATCACTTGCCTCATTTAAAGGAACGACCCCCTGCGCCTCAAAAGGGCCGCTTGGTCTGGACCTGTGGTCGGCTTCTATATGCTGAACGATCCATGCTGTCGTTCTTGTCTCTGAAAGGAAGAACGAGATGCCTGGGCCCAGTCCCAGGATGGAGCTGGCCGAAAGGGCTGCCTTTGGTAATTGCCCTGCGATAGACTGTTCCCTGAATGCTTATCTCCTTTCCTTGCTGAGTTAACAAGAGTTTTGCGTTTGTCCTTACCTTCTATTAAGTAAGGTTCTAGGGCCTTACCAAAGAGATGTCCACCTGTGTAAGGTTTAGAGGCGAGACGCCATTTGGCCTTGGTGTCTGCTCGCCAATTCCTGAGCCAAAGGAGCCTTCGTGCTGAGATGCCCGCAGCGATGGTCCGGGCAGTGTATCTGGCCGTGTGCAGAGAGGCATCGGCCAAGTACTGGGATGCAGCAACCAACTTACCCAGATTTTGATGAGCTCTGAGTTGGTCTGGAGGAATCATGTCCTGGAGCTCACGTAGCCATAGGACTGAAGCCCTGGCAAAGAAGGCCATGGATGTTGATGCCTTTGTTGCCCAGGCTGACGCCAAATGGGACCTGCGTAAGGCAGCCTCAATCTTTTTATCCTCTGCCCTAAGTGCCTCGTTAACATCCTCTGGAATGCTAGCATTGGGGAACAGTGAATTTAGGGGTTCATCAATCTGGGGAATTTCCAATAAGGAGGCCAGGGAAGGAGCCACATTGAATAGTGTCTTTTCTATGGCTCCGGGGTTTGAAAGAAATCCTAAATTCTCCCATTGTTTCTGAACTATGTTGAGAAAAAAAGGGAGGGCAGGGAATATGATTCTGAGAGACCGAGGGCTCAGCATATATGGCGTGAGAACTTTAGATGTTGTAGGTGGGGTCTCCTGTTCCTGAGGAAGGTTTGCAGTTGTGCAAGCCTTGAGTAATAAAAAATTAAAGAGACTGACAGGAGGAGCAGGGTCAGATGGAGTAATGCCTTCATCATCTGACATAATCAGGCCTGATGTTTCAGCCCCTGTTGATTCTAAGTCCGATGAGGCTTCATCAATGATATCTGGAGATTGGGAATGATATATGGACTGTGGAGGTGCTGTGGGTGGCTGTGTAGTGGTAGAAGCCATGAATTGAGCCTCGGCTTGAGCTATCATGGCCTGAAGTTGCTCAGGATTTAAGATCTGAGCTTCAGGAGAGCGGAGCCCCGCTGCAGTGGGAGTGAATGTAGCCTGAGTCCCAAAGTAATATTGTCCTGACCAGCTGCACCTTGTGTCCCTGGAACAGCCCTTGTGACTGATTCAGATTGAGAACTTCCCCTGGGGGGAGACCAGGCCCCTGGGGCCAAGGCACAATGTGAGGAAAGGTGTTCAAAGATGGACCTTCCTCTTGTGGTGGTGCCTGTCTGACCTGGGGAAACTGCTCTCAACCTGTGGGACTCATCCTCCAACATATGCTGACTATTGGTTTCCTTGATTGACTTGGCTCGTTTTGAGGCATTTTTTCCCCCTGCCTCCATAGCATGTTTCCTTTTGGCCGGTTCGGTGGAAGCTTTTTCTGCCATGCTGAGTGATTGTTGAATACACCTTGAGGGCTCAACCTCAGCGAAAACGCCCCGCCCTCAGTGTTGTAATATCACTGAGGGAGCCCAGCAGAGACAATCCGGCCCCGGTGAGGGGGGGGGGCAGTGGGGGTTAATGATAGGCAGTGTGTCCTTCCGGAATGAGCTTGCCCTCCCCAATTCAGTCAGGGTTCATAAGAATGACAGTAATCAGTCAAAATGGCGGCCGCAGCTTCAAACACATCAAAAAACTGTCCTTTGGAATGTTCCTGCAGGCAGTTAGGCCTCAGTGTTTGTTCAAAATGGTGGCTGCAGCTGCCTCAAAATGGCGACCACAACTGTCTGTGCACCAAAATGACCATTGAGGAGGAGGCCTGCGTGGTCTGAAGCCTTAATTGCAATGAGCCCTCATTCCGAAGAAACGCTTGGGCTCCTAATGCGGCTGAGGGTAATTGAGATGATCAGCTGGGCAGCGGTGCTGAAATAACAGGCAGCTTGCCATTTGCAGATCCCCCCTTTCTGGTAACGTCTACTGTGGCTGAGGGACCTTAAAATGATCCCTCCAGGCCTGACGACATGCGTCGCCGCTTGCGGATCCCCCCTGACGATCGGCAAGGCTTACCCTCATCTCCGGAGTCCCAGGAAGTCAGCGAGGCTTGTCTCCATGAAACGGATCTTCCGATGAACAGCTGACTGTGAAGGAGATCGTCTGGGCGGCAGTTTAAAATTCGGAGGCCCCTGACGAAGAGCTGGCTGGTGGGGATCGTGAAAACGGCTGTTTAAAGCTGTTTAATTCATGAAGTGAAAGTTCTCTGAAATGAGTTGAAAGGGAAGGGCACGCAGGAAGGTGCCGAGCCTGTCAGCCCAGCCGGGCAGCCAGGCTTGAGGAGGAGTGAACTCCAGATAATGGAAAAAAAAGGTTAAATATAAAAAATAATCAATAATGAAATAATTAGTCTAAATCAAAGTGAATGAGAAATTACTGCAGTCTTCTGCTCCAGGAGCGAAGAAAAAAACACGTCTTTAGAGCAAAGAGACTAAGTCTAAAACTGGGGTGAATTTGGCACAGCGGAGGCGGTACTAAGATTCAGACTTAGTCTAATTGGAGCAGATAGATTAAGACAACCCATCTGTGGGTTCTCCATCCAATCATGCTGGAGAATGCTATTGCTCTTACTGTTCTTTATATTGCTTTCAAGATTATCATGTAAATCCTACTTACAGAGAAAATATTATGATGACTGTTATTTGTCAGGTATATTTTAGGGGGTTAATTGAACTATACTTTACCTAGTTAATCAATAACTATATGCCACAACAGTTAAAGGAGACCTTTCCCAAAACAATTCACTGCATCGTACCATGTCTTGTGTGACCCGCAATGGTATGATATGGAAAATTGATGGCATTTGTTCTTGTTTGTGAGTGCCATCCTAGACATTTGAAAGGCACTAACATTTTACTAGCACACATAGATATAAAACAATACACTTGGGGAAAATATTGTTTCTTTCCCCAAAACAATGTCTTGAATCATCTTTAGATTAAACACATATATCATCTCAGTCCTCCATTTTTACTCTTTGGAAAACAGGGAACTATATATATATATATATATATATATATATATATATATATATATATATATATATATATATATATATATATATATATAGTTTAAAATAGGCTAGAGAATTTCTTCCCAAATGCACAAAACATCTTTTTCTCCCTGCAGGGAGTGTTAAATCAAGAAATAATGCTGTCCATTCTAACACTTCAGCATTCTGCTTCTGCTGTTCCTACGGAACAGTCTTGGAATTTATAAGTAAAGATACATAATACTGAATTGCACATGGCAGAAGGTGGGGTTGCTTTTAAAACTTGAATTGGATCTTGTGCTTGAATTAAAGCAAAGTGGTCTTGGCAGCAAGCAGAATTTTATAAGCAATAATGTGGCATGTACATAAAGAAGTTATGATTCATGCAATTCCCCCCCTCCAAAAAAGACGAAAATGGGTGATTCTGACATTAGACTAGGGAGAAAAAACCTGAATCCTCAACTCACATAGCCCCTAATTTTTTTATTGCTTGTTTGTTACTTATTGTCATGGTTTTCAGAGCCCTCTCACACTAATATCAACAACACAATTGCCACATATAGGCAGTGCAGTTTTTACCATTTTGAAGCAAGTTTTATAAATCTTAAAATAAGCTTAGCTATAAAGATTAGGTGAGATCCACAGCTACAAAAGATTGTGCACATGGAGCAAGAGAGTTCTCTCAACTGAGAAATGCAGAAAGGCCACAGTAATGAAACCCCTGCTGTTTCTCTTCCACTTCATGGAGTTGTGAGGGCCACATTGCCTATATATTGTTTACAAAGCAGGAAGGTGCCCTTTCATTCTCTCATTGAACTAAAAAGCATTCAGCTCCCTGAGTGGGGAATGCTGCACCACACTGTCCTTCACCTTGAGCTGCAAAACATATTGAGTCAGTTGTAAATGTCAATACAGAAGCCTTGAATTGAAGGTTGGAATCTGACTTTTCCCATATTTGTTTGACTTGATCACAGCAGGTAACATTAATACATTTCTCGATTTACTATATATTGCCTTATAAAGCCACAAAGATAAATAGTTTGAAAATTGTGTGGCTATACCTTGACTTTATTTGTATGAATTGACTCTCATATCAAAGCAAATGCTATTAGCGTTGTTGAAAACATAGCCTTTTCTCTCCCTCCCCTCGTCACCATCTTAGCATCCCCTTATTAAAGAGAAAATAAAAAGAATATTACAATGCAGTATTAGCAGTTAAATAATTTATCTGAAAAGGGATAATAAACACTTCTATGCCATAATGATGTGGTATCAGAGATACAATGTTCCTGTGATTTTGTGGCTGTTATTGTTGTAATTTCCTATTTTGTGTACACAAAGGGTTTTTGTCATAGATCTGATTGACCCTTTCAGAAAAGTGGTGCTTGGAATGTAGGTGAATTCAAGTGTGATGCTTTCTACTTCAGTGAACATTATTTCTCTAAGAAATTTTATTCAGGGACAGAATGTGCTGTATTGCTTTTAATGTTATTGTAGGAAGCAATCAATGTCTCTCCAGAAAGCTAAAAATGATACACGTTTTGCCAATTATAATATACTTTTATACTGTTGGTTTCCTTTTTGAATCTTCATTTTGATGTTCCACTGGAGGGAAAAGTGACTATAAATGAACTGAGCCCAAACTGAATCTTTTGTTTCATGTGCCTTTCTGAAAATATGAAAATGTGCCACTTATTTTTATCAAAGTATTTGGAGATTTTGGAGAGATGGAGGGTGGAGGATTTTTTTTTTTAATTTGATACTCATATGCATTAATTTTTTTCTCTTGTCAGATTTTGTTCATGAAGTAATGATACTCTTGAATTTAAGATGATGATGATGGTATAGACAATTCAATCTTTTATTATTGCCACAGATCAGAATAAAAATTAAAGCATTAAAATAAAATGGACATTTATGGTCAAGATTGTCAGACAAATGGCCAGGAACAATCACTAGGAGGATAAATTTGGAAAACACCATTAAAAGTGAGGGGTAGGATCAAAATCCTGTGCTGAGTATCTTATACTGCATACAGAGACAAAATGTATTGGATTATTAAGTTAATAGAACTGGCTGAGATGGCAAAATTAGTTATCTTAATTAAAGAAAGACAATTTTGTTTTAATGTGGAAAATACTTTTGGACATTTTTCTAGAAACTGAAAGAAATGCTACATTAATTTTGGGAATTAATCATTAGAAATGTTTATGGTTATAGAATTGTTGGATATTACTGAATTTTAGATCAAAACATTAATGTATTTTATAGCTGTAATTGTATCAAAGAGAGTCAGAAACTATTTTTCTTCATTTTTCTTTATTCCTTTGCATCTTACTTTCCCCTATATTTTTCCTTTTCCTTTTTTTGTTTCTTATATTTTATCTTTTGTAGAAATTTAATTAAGTATTTTTAAAAAGAGACATGTAATTTACAACATAAAATGGATTCTAGTTTCAGGAAAACTGGTGCTGTTATAATCATACTCTTAGAAAGCTAACTATTGGTTTATTAAAAATAAATGTCAATAGTCTTATTTGCTTTCTTTTGGAATTCAAGCTATTTCAAATGTGTGTGCTTCATGTGATGTCAATGTTTGATTCAACAGGGAAGAAATATTTAAATAAGATCTCCTCGAATATTGTAAAAGTTGAATATTTATGAAAACGTCATGCAAACTAATCTTTCACTCTCGTTACAATTATAATCTTTTCAGACTTCTGAAGTTTATAAATTTGATATAACAGCCTCAAGCAAGTAGTTGTTTTTTAGGAAATGGGGAAAAATGTTGGGTTAGGTTTGTTTATATTTTTACTTTCTAATTTTCTTCAGCTTATATCTTTAGCTTATTAGTTTACCAATTGAAATGCAGTTCACACACACACACACACACACATTGTATAATTTTTGTGCACAATTAACACCCATTTTTAAAACTCATTTTTCCTTATTATATACATTTATATATTTTGTTGTATACATAATTTTACAAATTAGGTTAAAAATGTAATATTTTCCCCCTCATTGGTCTCATTTTTTTTGCATTTTTGGGAAATGTACATTTTATGGGGGAACATAAAGAATTTGCCATATGGATATATATCAAAATTGCTTAGGCCCTGAGGGTAGAAGATTGAAGGTCCTAAATCTTCTCTTTCAGAAGCCATCTAGGTTTTCCACATCCTGGTCTTGTCTCTTGTTTTGGTGTATTGCATCTATACCCTAACTTAAATCTGTATGAGATAAATAATGCTGGATTGCTCCAAATTAAGTGTATTCTCCCAAAATCCGGAGAGGTTTCAAAGTTTTGACAATATTTTTTAAAACTCTGTGTTTTCCTGAACATAACCTGAAGTATGAATAAAAACTGAAATTCAATATCCAATTCCATAACTTGCACAAAGAAAAAAAACACGAGACTTATTATAAGACAACAAACCAAGCAAGCAAGCAAACAAACAAATACACCTGTTCTGAGAGAAAAATCTGGCTTATTTACTTATTTTTATTGAAAAGAAAAATATGGACAACTAGAAATTTATGCTAGGGTTTGTTTTTTTAATTGTTTGGTATGTTTCTCTACTTCAATTTGTTGGGCTTTTACAGCTTCTTGAAGATTCTAAAGTGTTAGCCTGAGGCTGTGAGAAGTTGAAAACTCTACCCTTTAACCGACATCTTTTCATGGAACTCTATCTTTACAAAACCCAAAACTTACGGTATCTATAATCAGCAGATGAAGAAGCTGGGGTATCTATGTAAGTTATAGAGCCATCTGTTACTTGTAGGAATGTGTATTATGTATTTGAGTTTGCAGGCAGCATTTACAAGTTATATTCTGGTTTGGGTAAAAGTATGAATTAGGTGAATTCAGGGTGCTTCTCCATCCTCAGGTTTTAATATATTCTCTCCTCCCCATCCCCTGCTTCGTTTCCTGATTATATTGGTACTATTTCCTCTTTACACGTTTTTCAAGCAGTGTTATTGTAGATAATTGTTCTCACTCTCTCTCCAATAGCTTATGCCTTGTGGTTCTTCTAACAGCATGTTTAACATACCCTAAGTGTAGTGCTTGCCCCTGTGGAAAGTACATTACTTGCGAACAAACAGGCTTGTTTGTTAACCCCATAGAATGCTCTAAATTGCACTTAAATGAAT